AACTTGAACTCTCTAGTCTTCTTCCTGTTTAACTTATAGAAAGATATTTTTAAAAATTATTTATAGAGTCTCTCTTAGGTGAAATGATCCCCTCCTCCTACTGGACTTGCGCTTTTCAGAAATCAGAACCCCTGGGCCTGGGGGGCTTGCCTGCAGTGACTGCCGAGCCCTACCCCGGCCTCCTGTTCAGCCCCTCACTCATAAGCACGACTGGGAATCTATGTTTTCACCAACTACATTTTGGGTGATTTTTAATGCAAGTTGCTAAGAAGATGGTGACTCTCTTGTTCACCCACCTATTCCAAAATCTAACCTAGCACAGAGACAAGGCATTCAATAAATGTTTGCTGGTGGGTGAATGAGTGCATGAGTGAATGCCAGTGGGAAAATGTGGCTGTCTGGCTTTGGCCTGGGTAGATGGAGAGCAGCTGTTGTCCAGCATCGCTGCCTGGTCCTTCCTAGTTTCCCATAATTGCCATAGATCTGTAAGAACCACAGTGCCAAGAGTCGGTAATATCAACAGAACCACATATCTGTAATAATCCGTGGTGCCATGAAACAATTAATAGTCCACAGGCCCACGGATGAATCTGTAATAATATACAGTTCCTCAGATTTCTATGAATCCACAGAACCACAGATCTGTGATCATCAGCGGAACTACAGATCTGTCACAACCTGCAGGGTCCTCAATGGGTTAAAGCACAGGACTTTGAAGCTGGCCGCAACCACTTCAGCACGAGTTCAATCCCCGGCCAGGGGGCTGACCCACATGGCGCAGCAGACCTCTCCTGCTCACATGCGGCTCCCCTCAGAAGTGTACTTCGTCCATCTGCCTGTTCTGCTCCCCACTCTGTCTCTGGTGAATCCTCTCACGGTCCTGCACTATGGCTTGTACCCCAGTTCTGTATGCATAAATAAGTAAATCTTAAAAATCCCACAGCAATCTGCAATAGCACATATCAGCAATGTTGACTGCACGGGAATAGACTTTCTGTTCCCCCTCCCTGCCTCCTGGAGAAGTGAACAAGAATCAAAAGTCAGCCATGACTCAGATTTGTTGTCAGTTTTAATAGGAGGGGTGGAGTCAAACAGTTGAGAGGAACGTATAAAAAGACCTTTTCCTTTTCGCTGGAACATGGTATGGTTTGTGCATAGCACATACATATTAAAAAAATAGAAGTATCACATTTTACAAGCACATGACTCAACAAATTCTGAGTTTTCCCACACGTCAAACCTGAGCTTGAGGACAGCTCTTTGCTGGGACCCAGCCTGAGGTACTGGCTGATTTCTAGAAAGGGAAACCCAGGTAAAGACACAGCTGGCATACGCTGGGATCTCGGCAGTTCAGTGAGGTATTCGGACCTGATTCTGGGTTGGCTCTCTGCACACTGGGTAGATCTGGGGTGTGCTCTGGGGTCATCACTCCCTCCTCCTATTCTGGGGAGAGGTGCAAGTATGGGTTAGGGGTGCTTCTATCTGTCTTCTACCTTGCTACAAGGCTTTAGCATTTTTCTGGCAAGAGGCAGAATGAAGTGGCAGGTCCTTGCTGGCAGAAGTGGGACAAATATCAGAGAGCTGTTCTGTGACAAGGGTGGGGAGCAAATGCCAGAAGCGGTCTGCTCAGGCAGGACTAGCCCAGCATCCTGGGGGCGAGCTTGTGGGCACAGACTCTATAGCGTGCCCACATCAAACAGAGCAGATGAGATCAGAGGGCAGAAAGCATAGCCGGTCCGTCACCTTGGGCAGAGACATCCCCACGGAGGACTGGGGGACAAACAGGCCAAGCCTATGGGGTCCACTCTAAGACAGGAGAACCACGGCTCCTGGACATGCATAAATGAGAGCTGGGAGGCTCTGAGGTCGGGGTGGTGGAAGGGCCCAGAAACAACCTAGGGAGAATTCTAGACTGCCCAGGATAGCCCTGTGGTCAGGAGAGAATTCCAGCCCAGGGACATCAGCCTGGGGAGAGGCCAGAATGCCAGAAAGGAGAGAGTTTGGAGCTGGATCAGATGACAAGAGGACATATCTCTTTCTGAGGCCAGAGAGTGACCCTAGCAGGGCCTAGAGGTGTGTGTGTTACAGAGGGGGGCCGTGGGGTGGAGCGCGGGATGGGGCATTCATTACAAAGTTATATGCTGCTTCCAAAGGAGGTTCAGAAACGCATGGGAATGAGCAGGGGGGCAGTGCGAGAAGGCAGTGAGCAAGTGAGGAAATACGCACACTCTCCATCCTAACAGGACAGTTTTCTGGTCCCCTCACTCTGCCGTTGTCCTGAGGAGGGTGCAGACTCGACAGTGAGTTCCACTGTTTCTGAGCTGCCCTCTTCCCAACTGAGAGGTCTGCCTTCAAGGGAGGGCCCAAAGGCGCTGTCTCCTTTTATTATTTGCTCTTGCAGAGGGCCTGTGGCAGCCTCTGGGCTCCTGGACCCCCATATATTTGTGCAGCTGCCAGAGAAGGTTCAAGATAAGAGACAATTAGCCACAAAACCCTGTAAGCTGGGGTAATGGCTTGGGACTTCAGGGGGCCGAGGCCTGAAGTCATGCTTAATGCCTCCTCAGCAGGAAGGTGGGGTTAGCTCTTGTTCCCTGCCCAGGCCACATTGCCTCAGCCTCTGGGGCTCAGCAGAGCGGCCAGATAGGAGACCGCCACACTCTGCTCAGACACAGCAGGACAGGGATGGTTCTCTGCTCTGGGCCCTTTGCCCACAGAACTAACTAGTCTTCTGCTTATGCTACGAATTCTCTCTTTGGGAGAATTCCCATGGATGGGAAGATCCTTAAAGAGCCATGCTACCTCCCTGCATCCAGGGGTGACCTTCAACACACTTGGCAGTGGGCACAGCTCAGGTCCCAGTACCAGTTGGAGAAGGTAGCAGATACCTACTCTGGTTCCGAGGCCCAAGCCAGGCAGAGGGAGGCATGGTGCCACCCCTCAGGGCTGGGTCTTGAGCCTGGCCAGTCCTGGGAAGGTCAGCAGGTCACAGCTTCTCTTTCTCTGCCCCCAGAATGAGAAAGGGGGGTGAGCACTTGGGGAAGCTCTTAGGATTTGTGGAACATGCTGACGAGCCTCCAGAGAGATGCAGGAGAGGTCTAGCATATGGGGCCTTGGGACTCCTTAGAAGAGCGTCCCCTCTTGTGCTCAGTTAGTGAAAAGATCTAGGAAGATTGACACCTTTCTTGCTATCCAGCTTGCGTCTGTCTGTCCACCCAGCCTCTGGAATCCCCACCACCTTCCTCTGGGAATCCTTAAGCGGCCTCATGTTCTGAGGACCTCTGTTTCTTTTAAAGAATTGATTCCTCAGGACAAAACAAGACTGCCTGAGAAACAGCCAGCTTTGTCCCCTGCCTCCAAGCAGACCTGCACTTCAGTTCTCCAAACGGTCAAGGAGGGCTGGGCGTCTTCCCCACCCACTTATTCCAGAGCCCAGTGCATTCTGATTTCCATTCGAGGCTTGACCGTGTGCGCTCCTGAGTCCTGTCTGCCTAGTCTTCACTCACCGTAGGGTGGCCTCTGCCCACTGGCCAGCACATACCCTCCTGATACTTGCTGGGCAGGGAAGGTGGCCAGGCAGTGACTCTCCCCAATCGCCCAGCTCCTGCTTCGGCTCAGATCTTTCTATAGATGGCCACATCTGCAGAGAGAGAGGCCTGTCCAGGATGAAGTTATTTGCAGCAGATGAAGGGCTGTCTTGTCAGCCAGGGGGGCCCCCAGGAGTAGCAGAGAGCGTCAGGTCATCTGGTAAGTCGATGATTCCCATCTGCTGAAAATATTTGAACTCCGATCTGGCGCTCTCTGGATTCAGATTTAGGAACAGCCCAATGATTCAGGAATCCGAAGGCTCCAGCAGACATTTATAGTCACTTGGGGAACCTCGGCCTTAAATATTCTCAAAGGACAGGCGGCTCGGAGACGCTGCGGGACAGAGCTGCTCCAGCTTGGCGGCTTGGCTTCACAGGATTATCACTCTCCTCTGTCTGGAGGGGGTGAGAGGGGCAAAAACTGGAGGTCAAGGTGCCCATTCTACTGCATCCAGGCACCTGCGTGAGTGTGAGATGAGGATGACCAAGGAGGAAGTGAGGGTATCGGGTGAGAACTTGGGTGCAGTTCCTGGACGTAGCTGGAGAGGATTTAGCGTCTGTGATCCAAAGCCTCTCTACTTCCTTCATGCCCTGTTTCGCGCAGCCCCTTGCCAAAGAGGTTGCCATTATTAGGATCCTTGTCATCTGAGGATAAAATAAGACCCGGTTCAAAGTGAGGAAAAGTCACGGGCAGGCAGCCGGGCCCTGGCTGGCGTTGGGAGCCACGCGCAGCCCGAATCCTCCAGGCAGAGGGCCCTCCCCAGAACATCCCGTCCCTTCCAAGCTTCCAGCAGGCCTTCCCCAGGCACCCTAGACGCGCCCCTTCCCTGAGAAGGGGACCCCTTCTACTCCCGCTTCCCAACTACGATCCCCAGAGCAGAGCCCTGCCGGGCAGAAAGTGGGGTGCGCTGCTCCCTCTCTTTCCAGTTTACCGCTAAACCTTCCCCTCTCGCCCCTCCCTCCCTGCACTTAGGGGACCCCCTGCTCCCTGTCTCCCCTTGATGCCTGTGCAGTCAGTGACTTTAGAACGGAAAGACGATTGGAAAGAGGCAGCCGGGAGAACCCATCCATCGTGCTGGCTTGACAAGTGACCTTGCAGCCCTTGCAGGCAGAGAGTCCTACAGCCAGGATGCCGGGAGCAAGAAACCCGATGCTTTGAAATGCCTTTGCTGTGACAATGTATACAGGGATGTATGGAAACACGGCAGCACCCACGCGCTGCTCGCCTGGCCTTTTCCTGTGCACCTGGTCACATTCCGCGGTGTCGTCTGTCGTCTTTCCGCAGGTCAGGTCGGAGCGCAGGCTGCGCTGCCACTCCGCACTGGCCGCGACCCCCACTGGGGCGCCGCCGCTGCCCGCGGCCCAGGGAACCCACACGGGTCTCCCCGAGGAGTCAAGGAGAGAAAGGAGCATCGTTCACGTGTGCAAAATTCCAGGGGGAAAGATGTTGCTTTCACCTGTGAGCCTTCTTTCAGGGCGCTACATCCTGGGAAGGAAGTGGGTGACGGTCATGATCGGGGACACCTTGCTGCCCCGCTTGACCCGTCCATACTTGCTGAGCGCGATGTAGGTCCCTCGGTGCAGGTCCGACTCGTAGGCGTTGTAGTTGTTGGGCAGGAGGGTTTCTCTGAACTTGCATTCCTCTTGGAAGCTGGGCTGTGAGAGAGATGGGCCAACATGAGCCTCAGTTATAACCCGGGTGTGGCCCCGCCTTCCCTCCCAGGAGGTCTAAGCCTGGTTAGAAGAAGAGGAGCAAGGTTAGCCCTGGAGGAGACCTCAGCTCTGTCCTGATGCCCTGTCTCCTCCCAGGATGACAGCAAGGCCTGGGGCGGGTGGCCCCAAGGCCATGCAAGAGGTGGTCTTTTGGGGCAGGACGCAGCAAACTTCCCCTGACTGGACCTTGGCTCAGCCTCACTCCCCTTCTCTGCAAATGTGTGGTGTGGCGGACAGGCAGTGGGGGTGGGGGTGTGAGTGGAGGGAGAGGCCAGCCCCGGTCTTTGCCAGGGCCACCTGCTCTCTATATGTCCTTCCCTCTTTATTTCCTTGGTCTTTCTTTTCCAGTTGGAGTCCCAAGGGTGCTGGCCTTCAAGAAGAAGATTCCAGGTTTAGTCTTTGTATCAGAAGATGCCCAGTACCCCCCAGACCTTCCGAGTTCTCTCGAGAAGTGCAGGACCAGAGATGGTGAGAAGCAGCAATTCTTGCAGGGGGGAGAGGACCCTGATTCCTGACTGGCAGGTGGTGCCGTGGAGTCTGGGGTCAGTGACAAATCGCCCCTTGGTGCTAATTTGGTTGAGGAGCCTCAAGCACCTGTTTGACAATGAATGCTGACATCCTGTCCCCATCAGCAAGTTCATTCCCAATAAATCACCCACATTCTCCTGTATTCCTAGAAAAGAGGGCTGTGAACTCCCCAGGGGCGTCCTGGATTCCTGCCTAGGGTGGTGCCAGGGAAACTGCCTTGTGCTTTTCACAGGAGGGAACAAGTAGGATCTAGAGGATGAGCGAGCAGGCAGGGATAGGGAGGGGAGTCTGCAGGCAGGCCCGGGGTCTAGTCTTTAAAGAAATAGAGAAGGCAACGGAGAGCAATGGAATATAATTTCCAACTCTCCTGCTGACACAGGCCCTCGACAGGGAAAATGCTCTGGGTGGGCTAATGGGCTGTGCCAGAGGCATCCCGACCTTCCTAAAGGAATTCAGGTGAGGGGCACCCTTGCTGGGGCACCAGTGGGAGAGGGGGTGAGCCTCTTCCTGGACTGGGGGAATGAGAGAGAGCTGGCTCATCCGGGCTCCTGGCCTCCCTGCCAACCCTCCAGAGAACGGTTAAGACTGAGTGATCCCCGTTCTTCTTCCCCGTGTACTCTCTCCAAGTTCCCTGAGCCAGTGACTGTGTCTTCAGGTACATGATACTGAATGAAGGAGTTTTCATAGGGATGGACCTGAAGCCTGGACACCCTCACATGGATGGAGGCAGGGCATTAAGCGAAGGGGTGGCTTGGTATGGGGGTACCTCTCCAACTCCCAGGCTTCACCCCCACTGACCCTTTCCTCATTTCCCTCTTGCCCTGAGTTTATTGTTTCCAAAGTATTTAGCATGTTCACGCTTCTTACTACACACCTGGGAATTGGGGTTTTCACAAGCTTTTCCCTTCCTATGGAAACTGGGTAACTATTTGAGGGCTGGATGAAAGGGAATATACTAATGGAAGGAGGCTTAGTGACTTCTAACAGCTAAGTAGGTTGGACCGCTTGGCTACGTGAGCTTGGCCAAATCATCTCACCTGTGCAGCCTGCTCCCTTTTCTATAAAATGGGCGCATACGAATAATTTGGAGTGAGCACGCACTGAAATATTGCATGGGAAATCTTTGCAGGTCATATCTGGAATGCATGAGATCAAAAATAACTAGATGGTCTTCCCTGGTGGCACAGGGGGTAAAGTCTTGGCACTGTGAAGCTATCTGCAGTCACTGCAGCATGAATTTGATTCCTGGCCAGGAGCTCACCCACAAAGTGCAGCAGACCTCTCCTGTCCTCCCACTGCTCCCCTCAGCAGTGGATTTCAGTCAGTCTGCCTGTTCTGCTCCCCACTCTGTCTGGTGAATCCTCTCATCCACCATCCCCTGCACCTCTGGCCTGTACCCCAGTTCTTGTATGCATAAATAAATCAGTCTTTAAAAAATAAAATTACACTGACTAAATGTTTGGTGCAGATCAATGAATAAAAATTAGTTTCAGAAGCAGATCCAAACATACGTGAGAGTAAAATATCAATGAAAAGTGGATATGAAATGAATATAAGACAAACGTGGCATATCCCTCACCGGAGAAAACGTGGCATTGGAACAACTAGGTAATTTCTGTTTGTAAATAAATTATATTAAATAATAATAAAGTTTGACGCATGACCTCATTATTCCAAAAGGAGCATCGACTTAAAAGGAATTGTGAAAGTGAGGCAAAACCTTTTAAAAGTAATCTGAGTCAGGAATATCTAAGTGAGATAATTAGAAGCCATAAAAAAGGAGGATAAGTTTGATTTCTGCCTGAAAAAATTGTCTTAAAATAAAGTTATCAATAGCAAACAAGATAAGAAAAGATGAACGATGCATCTGTATCAAAGAATATATTTTGTTCCTGTGTACAGAATCCTTAACACATTGAAAAACGGACAATGTGAAGAGACAAGGCATAGAAAATAATTCTAAATAATAATTAAACATACGAAGATAGACCCAAATAAACTCATGCCATTTGCAGCAACATGGATGGATCTGGAAGGGATTATGTTTGGTAAAGTAAGTCAGAAGGAAAAAAAAAATCTCGGATGGTTTCACTGATAAGAGGAATATAGTGGAACCAAATAAGGGATCAGGGGAGAAAAAAAACTAACAGGCAGCTATAAATTGGAGACATTCAGCAGGAGAGAGGGAGGCAGAGGGATTAAAGTGGGGGTGGAGGGGGTCACACGAGACTAGGGTGATGGTCCAAGGGTGGCTTGGTGGTGGGGACTACACCTAAGAGGAGAAATCAAATATTGTATGAAAAGGCACAGTGATGTAAAATATATACACATATATTTTAAAAGAGAAAGGAAATAGGCCCAGTGAAGGAAAAATGTAAACCAGAGCTTTGTTAGATTGCAAAGAAAAAGTGCTCGATAATTGCTCGTATTGGTGAGGGCGAGACCAGGAAATTGCATTTAATGTCCACTAGTGTCTGTGTTGTCAGGATCGCTATGGAGAGTGTCTATTAGAATAAAAAAAATAAATATAGCTTTGATGAGTAATTGCAGTCTGGCAATTTACCTTCTGCTGGTGCACACAGAAGACAACCGAAGTATCACAGGAGGTCACAGTTCACTCAACTCCTGCAGACTCACTAGTGAAACAGTAAGAAGCCGCTTCGTGCACTCACCTGAGATGGTCTCAGAGATTCGTTAAGGGGAGACACTAGGTTGCAAACAGCCCCATCTGCCTGATTTTAAAAAATGACAGCACCATCCGCAAGCATTACCTGGAATGACACACACAGCTGACCACGGCTGCCGGGCAGGGGCTGCAGGCATTTAAGTGAGACCTTATGTCCACAGAATATTCTTTTTCTGAAGGCATGTGCATGGATTAGCTATTCATATATCTAGATTATTTTAAGGAATTCAGGATGAAAGACTTTCAGGAAACAGAGTAAGAAAGCATTTGTCTCAGAAACTGGGGGTCTCCTCCTTCCCCTATGCCAACCCCTATGCACTATTCCAGCCCCAGGAGCTCCCTGTTCTACCCCTGGAGAGTGATTCACCCTGTCAGTGTCCAGAATTCGGGTTCTGATGGGACAGTGGTTGAGAGGTCTCCTGTGTTGTTTGCAGGCCCCTATTTTTGTCTCTTTTTTTTTTTTTTTTTTTTTTTTTTTTTTTTGCCCCTTTTCTCAGCCTGTCTCACACTCCTGGACTGCCTCAGCATTCCATACAAATCCAAAGCGAGAGAAGTAGATGAGGTTTGCTTTGGAAACCTCTTACCTTTCCCTCCCCTCTTCCACCCATCACCCCTTCCCTACCACCCCTGGGTTCAGATGGCTCCCAGGCCTATGGCAGGAGGCCAAGCCGATGTCCCTGGACCCTTTGATGCTGCTGATGCATCGAGCTGGGGTTCCTGCTGCCCAGATCGTTGCTGCAGCTGGTGTCCAGCCCCAGCCCTCCTGCACTGCAGGTCCTGTATCCCGAGCTCTGCGTCCTCACTGCTCAGGAGCGTCAGTGCCTCCGCTCTGGAGAGAAAGCACTCACGCCACGTGAGCACCATGTTAAGAAAAGCAGCTACCATATATTATTACTTGAACAAATGAAAATAATTCCACTGGATCACATTTCTGAGCTGCCAGGCCTCCAGCCTTGGCGTGACAATGTCTTGGATCCCATGCAGGGCTGATCAGGCTCATGTGGCACCGAGCTGCAAAGCGTTAGCTCTCGCGGTGACTGCAGAGAAGGGCGTTTTGCAAAAGGGGAGACCTAAGAGTGACCTCCAGCAAAAATGCCCCTTAATATCTGCAGTAAGGTAGACGCCCACCCCCATCCCCTTATCTTTGGGTATGGCTGAGTCACGTGGGCTGTGGAGGGGCATTCTTATCTTTAAAGCTCTTACGGCTGCCCTTGGACACATGCCCCTGTCACTCCTCTGTGTGTGCCTGGTAGAGGAGGGAGCTGGACTGGGAGCTGGGCAGTGAGAGGGGGAAAAAATCCCGAGACCAAGGCCCCCTGTGGCCCCCAAGACTTGTTCTTTGTTCTTCACTGGCTCTGGAGAGGCCTGTGTTTTCCAGCCTCTTGTCCTAACGTGCATTTGCACGGGCACCTTAGAGGTGTCTGAAAGAGCTCTCACCTGGGGTATTCTTCCCGTTTCTGCCTAGCTCTGTGTAACGAGTAGGTCACAGACAAAGCCAACGTCTCTGCTAGATGGGACAGCAGCTTATGGGGCCTGAGAGGCTGGGGTCCCCTCCCCCCATGCAATGTGGGGATCATCAAAGGCCTCTGGAGGAAGCAGAGACTTCCACCCTGTCCATGACATGGATGTGGATGCGGTCATCACTAGCTCACTCAAAGGCACAACTGAATTCCTAGGAGCTTTTAATTGCTCAGTATTTTCCTCAAAAGATCCCGAGAAAATCACTGTCAGGTGCAGAACCTTGGTTGATTGACTGTTTTTTTTGTAGAAGACGGCATACTAAAATATCTGCATTTTCTTGTGTCCTGACGTGTGCTCTTCCGATCACTTTTTTTTTTTTTTTTTTTAGTTTATAAAGAATCAAGGCAATTGGATTCCAACCACCGGGGTCTACGGGTCTACTCCTGAGGGAGCAGAAAGGTCCGGGCCCCCAGGCCAGTGACTTTGCCCAAAGGCAGCTGGAAGGTGAGTGGGCCAGGAACTCTGGAACTCTGACCCCAGCCTACACCTCAGATGTCCTCTGCAGCGGCCTTACCTGCATTACCTGAAGAGCCTCAAGGCAGGTCTGCCCAGGCTGAGCTTTCGGACCCCAGACCTTGGCAACCCAGCCTGAGTGCCTTCTGTGAAGTGGGGGTAAAGATCCGAGTTTTGGAAAGCGGCCACAGGCTGAAGGAGGACATAGTGGGTGCTCAGTACTGGACACTCGCTTAATTGCCCAAGGAGGGCAAGGTGCGCTGCTTTGAAGCTCCGCACCCTTCTTGCCTAGAGGTGAGACTTGGGACCCCTTCTCTAGGTGGCTTTCCCCTCCGCCTTCCCCAGTAGGTTCTGTCATCCAGGCAATGCCATCTAGTCCTAGCACACAGCTGAGACCCTGGGAGAGGAGGCAGCTCTGGGGGCTTAAAGGGAAATGGTATGAATGAAATCATCACCCAGCGGGAGTCTTCCCAGCCAGGGGATCAGTTGGCAATTGTTTTTTTAGACTGTGCACAGGGCCCCTGCGGGGCGGCTGGGGAGCCCTGGTGGCTCTGGGGCCTCTGCAGCCCAGCTAGGCAAAGCCCAGAGGCCGGGGCTGGAGACCCCACTGGGGACGCCCCCAGACAGTCACTGGGCCGAGGGCCTGCCTATGCAGCTGTAAGTAATGGGCACGTCGCTCTCTCAGACTTCCCCTCCCCATAACCCTCCTCCCGCTAATCGATAATGGGGACTCTGCAGGTCTCAGCCTCCTTGAGGCTTTGGAAATTTTTTCCCTAAAAGCATTGCTGCAGAGTTCTCTGTCTCCTCCACCTGCGCGCAGTCAGCACTCAAAGAGGGGCTTCCGGGTTTTGGAGGGTTTCTAGACTGGAAAGCACTTCTTCTGGCTCCTGGGCTCCCCCCAGCTTCTCCCACCAGCCAGCCAGATTCATGAAATAATCCCTTTCGGGGCAAGGAGAAGGGAATACTGGGTAGCTGGTTAAGAAAGGTAGCAAAGGTAGGACTTCGGCAATGGTTTTGTGCTTCTTTCCAGATTGATCTGCTGAAGAGTCCCCTGCACAGAAGCTCACTGCCACACCCCTGATTCCTGCCCTTTCAGATCAGGGGGCTCCAGCACACATGTGGAGGGCTATGTGGCACCCTCGACCCGTACAGTGAAATCTGAAACCTGGGGGGAGGGGGTCACTGGGTCCTTCTCAATCACTTTTGCAGTGATCTCTCTCACCCTCCTTGGGCAATTAAGCAAGTGTCCAGTACTGAGCCTTCCTGGGCCCTGCAGCCTGGTGGCCCCTGGGCCAGCCTGGGCCTCAGAAACACCTGAGAAACTCACAGAATAAAAGCAATGAAATTCACTCCCAGGCCCACCTAGTCCTGAGGGAGACCCTGGACACCAGCACTTTTCACAAATTGCCAGGCGAAGCTGGTTCAGAGGGTCCTCCCCGGAGCTTCACCTTCAGGAAAGCGGGGTGCAGTTTCAGGCAGTGCACCTCGTCCTCTTTAGGCAATATAAGTGACTGACTGCCTGGTATCCAGAGCCCGGGGTGCTCTCGCCTGTTCTCCCAGCGCCCCAGGGAGGCACAGTGGATCTTCACGCTCACTGGACAAGTGGGATACCTGGCCTTAGGTCTCAAATTCAGTCACAGCAGCGTGGTGTGCAGAGGGCCTGGGGCTCCCAGGCTAGGCCACAGCAGGATCGCCTTTGCTTTGCAGACTCGGGGTTCCAGCTGCCGTATCAGCGTCCTCACCTGCCTGCCAGCCCCATCTTTGTTTGGGGACCTGCTGATTTTAATCCATGCCCTGCCCCTGCTTAAACCAACCCACGCTCAGAGATGGGAGCACTCACAGGGTAGAGTCCACCTGGACTTTCCATCCGGGTGTTGAACAGACCTCTGTTGGGATCATCCCCAGAACCGGGCACCAATCCCAGAGCTCTCTACTCACTTCCTGATCCTCAGTCCATCTCAAGGGAGGTGGAACAGCCCTCCACACCCTCCCCATAAATAACTATGGTCTTCCTCCACCGTTGCTTAGAGGCCTTCTTTTTTAGTCTTCTTATTTCTGTCAGAACTCTCAGCGCCCTGATGGAGGTAAGGGAAATAGCCTTCATCTCTGCTCCTCCTTGGAGGGAGGGTGTGGCTCTGGGGGTGGCCCTAGAGAAAAGCAGCCTCAAGCTGAAAGTCTTCTCTGGCTTTCTTCAAGGTAGGGAAAGAAACCATCAAGGCTAGATGACAGCTTGAGGGGGAAGACTGGGCTCGCTTAGGCCTCATCACCTCTGAGCAATGGCTTCTGCTCAATCACAAAGACTCAGGCCAGCAGGGTGAGGTCCAAGGCAGAGACCAGTTGACAGTGATGCCAAGGAGGTCTCGGCCCAATGCCCCACACTTGCACAGCCTCTGCCTATGGCTGCATGATCCTCTCAGGGCAAATTTACATTCACTTTTCTAGTCAAGCGGTTGCATGATGCTCTTCCACCATGTGAGGTCAGGGCCCGTCCCAGCTGGAGCTCCCGGCCTGGTAAACTCACCGTTGTATATAATCTTCCTTTACTGTTCATGGCAATGAAGAGGGCACTCTGCACTCCAAAGAGACTCACCACACCTCTCTCCACTGTGGAAATCTCCAGCAGGCCTGACAAAGAAATGGGGGCCTGTTACCTAAGGCTTGTGCAAATCAAAGGGACCTTCAACCAGCGGTGACCACCCATGGGCATCAAAGCCCAAACCCCTGCTCCTCTGTCAGACCATTGCCTTTATCTCTAAGCTCACTCTGGGAGATCCCTGCAGGCAGACTCCGCGGGTCCTGCCTCTGTACTGCTGAAACCCCAGTTCTGCAAAGGATGGTTCTGCCATCAGAGTGAGGGGTGCTGTGGCCACTTAGGTGGCTACTCAGATTGACATTCACTGACTTCATGACAGGGGCCCTTGCCTTGGGTAGAAACACAAATTCTGATTAGCTCAATGGGATTTTTTTTTTTTTTAAATCTATCTTCCACAGGTTCAACCAATCTGTTAATCTGTTTGCAAATCTAATCTTGCAAACACTGTAGCCACACAGAGGCTGCTAGCTGCCTGCAGGCCACCCCTCTGGGATGGGAGAGCCTACCCTGCAATGTAGAATAAGCACCTGAGAACAGCAGCAGCTGAGATTACAATGAAAGTTGTGCTTCAGCTGGAAATTTCGTGAACAATTGGAGTTCCTTCACAAAGAAGTTTGCTAGATAAAAATAAGCTCCAGCGACCTCACTCGCTCTCCCCCTCTTATCTCATCGGCATCCCACTGGTCTCACAGTGTGATGCTGAATAAGCAGTGTCCCGGGGCTCTGTGGGGTGGTGGGGAAGGACAGCAGGATGCTTGGACCTCAGCCTGTAAGCTTGCACCTTGGCAAAGTGAATCTGAGGGAGGTGGCTCTGATTACCGGCATTCAAATGGGGAATGACCCCCCCCCCCACTTATAAGACCCCATGCACAGAAGCAAGCCCCCTTCATCTTGAGCCCAAGCTCCCACCTTCCCATAGGCTGCAACTGACACTCACTGTAGGGGTTCTCCTCGTGGGTCCCGCTGATCCGGCCGTCGGGGGCCACCTGGAGGTGGAAGCCGATGCCCACGTTGCAGTACAGTCTCCGCTGACGTTTGATGCCCACCAGGTAGCCGCTTTCCCAGCTCACCCCTGCGATCTCGCCAGCCAGCCCGGCGCGAGACCTGGACAGCAGGGTGCCCCAGCCCCGGGAGTCCAGCAGCGTGCTGTTGGCGCGGCTGCCGGCGGGCAAGGGCACCACCATGCCCACTAAGACGCCCAGGAAGACGAGCGCCTGCGGCGTGGCCCGAAGATGTCCTGCTCCCCGGGACATAGTGATGAACAGCGTGTGTCCCAGGGCCATCCACCTTGCCTCTCAGGCACGTGGTCAGAATTAATGGCCCTAAAAATACCGCCCTTCTTGTTTTTCTCCCCTCGGCATGGCGGCAGGGGCTTATTTTTGGAAGGCAGATGAAGACTGCTGACATGAAACCAAAGCCTGCTTCAGGCACTTGGGTCGGGAGCGGAGGGACCCAGGCGGAGCCATGGCTGGTCGGGACCATGGCGCGGGGACGCTACCGCGCTCACCCGCCTGCTCCTTCCCAAGCCGATTATATTTGATTTGACCTATCTTTATAGTTCAGCAGCCCGGCCCTCCCCTCCACCCATCATCACCCTGACGTCAGCTGACCCAGCTCACTTATCCAGGGCTGTAACTTTAACCTGCTCCTGGGCCTGGCTGCCTCCCCAGACCCCCATCACCCTGCCCACACCCCAGGGATTCTGGGAGCCACTGTCATCTCAACTATGAGGCAGGAATGAAGTGAGCAGGGAGCATCTCTGCGAGGGAGGGAGGGGTTGGCTGGGGTCCCAGAAGAGGGAGGCGAGAGGCCACCCAGGACCCAAGTTGGGCAGAAGTTCTTGGCCTCTCAGCGCTGGCTTCCTTATTTAGTGGGCAAAGGGGAAAGGCAGGCGTGAGGGAAGATGTGGTGGTTGGTGATGACTGAGGTCTCCGAGATACCCTGGGGGGCCCGGAAGGCGGGTGCCAGGGGGCTACTCGAAAGGCTAAACCCTTTTAGCAATAGATGTGTGCAGACTGTGAGGGGCGCAGGGCAGGGCCTAAGGAGCTGAAGGACTGTGGGGGGGAGGGGAGGGACGGGGTGCTGGGACCTGGCTGTGCTCCCTGTTTAGGTCATGGCCCCCACCCCGCCCATGGGGTGAAGCCGTGTCTGGCCCCTGACTTTGCACTGGCCATGTTCCCGCCTGGGCTCAGCTTTGGCATTGGGCAGCTGTTATTCCCATTCTGTAGCTGAGGAAGCTGAGGCTTTGGAGCCTGGGTGACTTCTCCGAGTAACCGTGGCTAATAGGTGGCAAAGACAGGAAGTACAAAGTCGGCCCAAGTCCAAGCTTGTGTTTTCAGCCTCTGCTTGATTGCCTGAGGCAGACGTCAGACTCCCAGGCTCTACGCGCAGTGTGAGCTCATTATTTGCCAAGAGCACATCAGGGAATTATTCCAGTAGCACAAAATGATTCAGTCACGCACCCACTGGAGCTGCAGGCAGCCTGAGGAAATCTAGGAGGAATCCCGACGCTTAGGGGCTCTGGGAGACACCACCTCCTGCCCGCTGTCCCCAAGCCTCCTGCTCAGTCAGGCCCCAGTCTGCGGCCTCCACCTCCCTTTGGCCTCTCTGCCTGGTTCACTTGGGTTAGAATTCTCATCAAGCCACACATGTCTGTTTTGCACTAGATCCCCTGAAGCTCAGACATGTGTTATATCCTCAGTAGGTAAAATGACGGGGGAAGGGATCCACGCACCTCTCCTCACTAGCACCCTCACTTTCGGGGCCCCAGGAACCCAGTCACGTCTCCCCTCATCTCTGTTGTCTTCTGTCCAGCCTCGTCATCACAGCATCATCATTTTCCACAACAGCGAAGATTGGTGTCTCGTGGGCACACACACATGAAGATCCTGCATAGGTCTTTGCTGGGAAAGTGTTCAGATGATGATAATAATAATAATGATCATAATAATAACCAGAAAAGGAGGAGGAAGAGTGAGAGGAGAGAAGGAGGGGAAGTTGGAAGAAGAAAAGGAAGAAGAAGGAGAAGTAGCTCGCTGCCGAATAGCAGGGTCCTGGATAACCCAAAGACAAAAGTGTCCCCAAAAAAGACCTTTATTTTGGGTTTCCAGCATGACTTCACGTGGTGAAGCTTTCACATATGCAAAGGTAGTGACACACTCCCTGAATGTTTTCTCCGGGATCTTGTATTGATTGTGTTGACCACACTGACTTGGGGAAGAGGCAGCTGAGGAGCATGTTGGGTGGGAAGAGGTTCGTCTGAAATCAACCCTGGAGAGGTGTTCATCAGCAGAGGTCAACAACTCTGGGGAATTCTCTGTGGAACCCATCCACATGGGGACTGCCCTAGAAGACTGATTATAGCAAGGCTTGATGTTGTAGATAAAAAATTAAAAAGTTGAAGCTCTTTGACTTAAGTAAAAAAAAAAAGTTAATTAACTAAAAAATTGTTAAATCTCTTTAGGTTCACTCCAGATTCTTCTCTGCAGAGACTGTGACTGGTCTTATAAAGCAGTGGACTTTGGAATGGAGGAGGCCTGGATTCGAGTCTAAATTCCACTACTTACTCATTAGCTGTGTGACCCTGTGAAAATGTTGAACCTCTCTGAGCCTTTTTTTTTTTCAGCTGCAAAATGAGCTCATTATTTCATAGGGCTACTGTAGGGATTAGCCATACTATAGATAGAGAACAATATAGTTCTCCCCCACATCCGTTCTCTGAAACACCCTGAAAATCTCACCCTATCAAAGAAGAACAAACCCACATTCAGAAAAACTCTTCTCATCTGAAGAAGCGGAGGAGACCGTTGGCCTTCCAGCTCTTAGCTTCTGGCCGTTAGTGTATGTGGTGGTGGCTGTTAGCAGAAGCAGCCTGGATTCCTAAAATATTCCCAAAACCAGTAATAGCCTGGGTATCGTTCCCTGTTAAATATAAAACTTAAGTAATTCATTCTATTAAAAAGCCTGGGTCTTATTTTTATCGGGTGATGTGATGAGGCCCTGTTCTAAACGCGCCTCCTGTGCCTGTCTCTATAGCAACTTCCCTCTGCTCGTATAGCTATATATTTTTCCTGAAGGCTAATTAAGTTGACAACTGCTAGGGCTTCTTGGTTTACCAGATTTGCACTTGACCCTTCTCTTGGGGCTTAGGGACCCCAATGGATGTGAAGTGATAAAGAAAAGAGGAACAGGTGGACGAGGCCTCTCGGAGGACCCCTCTTTCACATAGTTGTCCGGCAATCTTTGGGGTTGTCAATCACTCTCTAGATGAGCAATGAGTGAGTGGAGGTGAGAGGGAAAATGCTAATGTCGCTCTTCCTCCGGGTAGCATACAGGCCTGGACAGGGCCCGCGGCGTCTGCTGGTTACCCAGTGAAGTCAAAACTCAGGAGTGACCACAGGAAAGCAGAGGAATCTCAGAGGAGTCACAGCACATGGGTTGTGACGAGTTGTACTTGTATTTTCACATGGGTTTGGAAAAGCAGGTTGGCCCTGGCAAGAGCAAGCCAGATAGCGAGTTGCAGGCTGGTCCAGGACACCTCCCCCTCCCCCTCAACCCCCACCCACGGGCCCCGGGAGCATGAGCAGCATAATGCCATAATGCGAGCTGCTCGCCGTTACCAGCTCCTGCCTCCCTCTCTGGACACACGTCTCACGTGTGTCTGTGAACATGCGTGTGCCCTGGCCTCCTGGGTGCCAGGCACCTCTGTGGACACTGCACACCAGCCTTCTCCGTCCGCCGGGCAGCCGGTGGGCAGATTTTCAGGGAGCAGCTAACTGGCATTCTGTTTCGAACTCAGGGCTACTAGCTCAGTTCGCTTCTCCCTGTTACACTGGCCAGTACCCTGACTCGTGATACAGATTTGGATGTTCTTTTCAGACTTCTCTTCTGCAGAGGGCTCGGTCCTCTCTATGGGTCAAGTTCAGCAGGCCGCTGTCCTCCTTCAGGATGGGTCCTGTTCAGGGGCACTTCGTCTTTCAGGGAAATCTACTGCTGCTGGGGTCAGCCCATCTTTGTCTTGCTGTGTTTGAATCCTGAGACCCTGCTCCACACTCTGCCCTACTGTCTCTCCACTGGGGGACACTCAGCCTTGGGACCTATGCCCAAGGATGCACAGGATCCCCTGGGGGAAGGTAATACCTCCTCCAGACTCATCTTTTTGGGTTAAAGACCTTCATGATTTCTCCCCTGAGGCAGAGTCCCTGCCTTCTGTGTCTCAGTGTGACTTCCCCTTGCCAGGCCTTAGTTCTCCTCTTCTCAGTCTCACTTGCTGTCTTCCCTCACCCTCCCCTTGCTCCCCCTATATACAAGCCTAGAGGGTTAGCCAACTGCCAAGGAGGCAGCACCTCGGAGTTGGCTGACCACCACGGCCGCACATCTCAGCTGAATTTGCAAAGGGGCAGAGGAGTCAGATAACGTTCTGGAATCTCAGAACGTAAGGGATTTTGGCTCTGCTAGGAGTTTTGCAGTTTCTCAGATTTGCCTTTCATGATCATCATCTAATAATACCTACTGCGTGCTGAGGTGGGCAGGGCCCCTGCCAGCCTCCGTGTGGAGTTACGTAAAGGACTCAGCCTTAGTGGCAGGCTCCCCAGTGTGGCATGAGAGGGCCCATGTCCTGACCTCTGCTGGCCTCCCAGCTCCATTCTCTGCCTCTCCCTCTCTGAGAATTTTTGCTCCAGCAACCTCAAGTGGTCCGTCTTGCTCGGACACACTTCATGCCACCTCCACCTTTGCTCAAACCTCTGCCTTTGCTCAAACATTCCTCCCTTGGCCTGGCAAACTGCTTCCCATTTGAAAGACTCAGCTTACGTGTCACCTCCGGAAGCAGCCCCTGACACCTTTCCAGCTGTCTCGGACATGGACTTGGTGCCATGCTCCCCCCTCCTCCACGTCCTTGCTTCCCAAGGGCTCTGTCATGACCCTTACTGGGCTATGCCTACCAATTGGTGGGGGTAGTCGCTTGAGGCAGCAATGAATCCTTGCTCACCTCTGTATGTTTGAGCCTAACATGGTGCCTGCCACACAAGGTCTATGAAACAGTTGAATGAAAAAAGGCTTGGAATCTATGGATGCCACTAGAGGAAAGGTTCTCAAATAGGCCAAGACCTCATTGGAGGGGTGATCAGAATTTGGGGTGTGTGTCAGCTCTATTAGTTTGGAAAAAACAAGCATGCTTGGTATTCTGATTTACATTTTTCAGAGAAAGGAGTTATATTGGAGATGTCTGCTTTCCTGTGATAGTACATCTTGAACAGGACCTGCATTCCCCTTCTAGATGGCAAGGAATGTCGACAATTGTACAAAGCAGCTGCTTTCAACATTGTG